ACTGCAAATCCCAGAATTTCCCAGGACCTTAGCCATGTTGGCTGAGAATTCTGGAGTCTTAGTCCAACTGGGAAAACTTATCTAGAATCTTCCACAGAAACTGCCTCTGTATGTTCTTGATGCCTTTGATCCCATATACTTCTCTAAAGCTTTTACCCACTCAACGTGGCAAGTTAGCCCCAACACAAAACACATCAAGCTCAAAGACTGAACAACTGGCAGCAGATGGAAGCAACTGGATTGCCTCTTCTATATGTGGCTATCCCACCAGTCCAGACTGGTACTTTATGATTCTTGATGAATGTATCTTTTCTTTTATGTACACTGAGAGCGTATGCATCAAAGACAAATTCCTTCTGTGTTCAATCACACTTGGCCAATAAAGCATTCTATTCTATTCTATTTTACACCTATTCCTATTCTGTGTCGCACATAACACACTTTCCACCCCACCAAGGAGCTGGAGATCAATGGAGGTTTCACCTGTCCGGTGGCTTGCAAGTTGTAGCAGATGCTGCCTTCTCCAGTTGGGTGGGATGCATCTTTGCTATAGAGAAGGGCCCCCGTGAGCCAGCACAACCCTAGAAAGAGATCGGAGAGGCTCAGGTAGACAAGAGGGCGCACCTGTGGAAAGATCAAAGCAGCAATCACTCTGGTGATTCGTAGCCTTGCATTAGAACAAACATTGGAGATCTAAGGATGGGTGGAAACCATGTTCTGACCATCTGAGTTTCTGTTTCTCACTTCAGAGAGAACTAACCACACAGTGTCAACTCTAGAAGGGCAAAGCAATTTCTTCCTCAACTGTCTCATATCCAGATACACAGTCTCAGTGCAAAGTGTGTATTAGTAGAAGAGAGTGATGGGGAATAAATAAAACTAATGTTCTGCTATCCTAAAGTTGTCAAGGTTCAAAAATACTGAGAAGACAGACAGATGTAGAGATAGGCAGAGAGAGGGAGGGTGGGAGAGAGAGAGAGAGAGGTTTGGTTCTGCAAATTGGTTGTTATATTAATTAGGCTGCATGGCAACTATAGATGTTTGATGAAATAAAAGTACCTTATTTTTCGGATTATAAAATGCACTGGTGTATAAGATGCACCATGATTTTGAAGAGGTAAGCAAGAAAAAAAGTTTTTGCCCTCCCCAGCTCATAGGAGCACTCTGCAGGACTCCCAAAGTCTCTGCACGCCCTGTTTTTGCGAAAAACGGGACACGCAGGGCAGGGCTTTGGGAGACCAAAAAAGGCTGTATTCAGTGTATAAGACTCACCAACATTTCCATCCTCTTTTGAGGGGGAAAAAGTACGTCTTATACTCTGAAAAGTACGGTAAATTATGGTTCACCCACCAGCTTCTAAAATTAATATTTGTTCAGTAACAAAGTGGAAAGGACTTGAACATTGCAAACATTCCTGCTGAAGATCCCTGCTCCTCCCCACTTACTTCAGAAGGCCCCATCTTGCTTATTGCCTTCCTCTTCTTTTCCATCAGCAAAGGAAGAAATTTCCCTTACCTCGGGGGATCTGGCGCTGTTCTGGAATATGGTGTAGCCGATAATTGAGCTCGACCCCATGATGCTGTGGAAAGAAGGGGCGGATTGGTGGAGCTTGAAGTTGCTTCCTTTGATACGTTATTAGAGCTTGCATGAACCTTCCTTTAGCCCAGCAAATTCCCGCTTAATAAACGCAACATAAACATTTTATTCTAACAAATGCAAAATCAATTTAGTTCAAGAATAAAAACAAGAATGACAGAATAACAAAAGCAAATAAAAGATATACATCCATGGCATTTAGCAACCCCAGGAAAGGGAGACATGCCTGGTAAAGGTAAAGGTAAAGGTTCCCCTCGCACATATGTGCTAGTCGTTCCCGACTTTAGGGGCCGGTGCTCATCTCCGTTTCAAAGCCCTAAAACCCCCCAACCAGGTTAGTTCCTGGTTGACCTGCTCCTGGGGGATGCTCTTTTAGCCCCAGGATGCCTTAAGAGAGAAGGCTGCATGAAATACCTCAAAGTAGCCGTGACAGCTTGGATCCAGTGGATGACAGCGAAAAACTAGGTGGGGAAAAGAGGGAAATTAGAGAAGGTATATCCTTGCAAGCCAGGCTGTTTATCCGAGACCCCCTAGATGTTATGTGAAGGGCAGCCCACCCTTGAAATTATGATGGGGCAGGTCTCGGAGTCCCTTCTGTGCATCTTTCTTTCCCTCCGCTCAGCGTCAGGCAGTATCTTCCATCTCTTTTTATTCATTTATTCAGCATCTGTCTGTACCGCCCATCTTTTACCCAAGTGGCTATTTTAACCCGCAGTCCAGATCTAGAAACTGACCATCCCTTCTCAGGAACGACTGCAGCCAACTTATAGCAAGCTGGAATACCATGCAAAAGTCAGTAAATTAACCTCAGGATTGTGTGAGGTCTCTACTCCAGAGTTTCTCAAGCTCAGACAGTCTGTGATGTGTGTACTTCCAACTCCCAGAAAGAAAGAAAACTGCCAGGGAGCGAGTGAGTGAGTGAGTGAGTGAGTGAGGGAAGGAAGGAAGGAAGGAAGGAAGGAAGGAAGGAAGGAAGGAAGGAAGGAAGGAAGGAAGGAAGGAAGGAAAGGGAAGGGAAGGGAAGGGAAGGAAAATCCTATCTCCCAGAGCATCTCTGCAGGTTCTTCCTTGACTCACCTGAGCCTTCTCCAAATCTTGGGGCAGCAGAAACTCCTGAGCGGCAGCCCCAGGGGCAAAGGAGCCCATGCTGGCAAGCCAAGCAAGGAGCTGCAGGCAGCAGCAACGGGACCAGCTGTGGACAGGCAGCTAGCTGACTGGCCAGCCGGCTGGCTGGCTGGCTGGCTGCCAACCTCCCTCTTCGCTCCACCTCTTTGGTCCCGCCCTGGGTTGCCCGCAGCGGATGGGGGGGGGAGGCACAGCAGGCAGGACTCAGTGGTCCAGCAGCCTGTCTGTTTTCCAAGGGTGAGAGAGAGAGGAAAGGAAAGGAAGAAAAAGATAAAACCGGAGGTCTGGAGATGAGGGAGGGAGGGAGAGAACCAAGACCAGAGGCAGGATGCAAAAGGCAATAAAACAGAAGACAGGCAGGAGGGGAAAGCCTTGGTCCCAGCAGCTCCAGGCTCTTTGCTCAAGACGCCCCCATTATTTTGACAGAATTAATTGGAAAGCAGCCAGGAAAAAGGCTTCCCGTTCCCCCCCTTTTAAATTACGGTTCTTTAAAGGAGCGTCTAGGGGAGGGGCTTCCCCACCCATTTAAATCCTAGTTTAGTTTACCCCCTCCAGGCAACCAGCACAGGGGGCTGCAACTCTCACGAAGCAGAGGAGGCCTTTGAATAAAACCTGAGAATCCGAAGAGCTGCTACCAATTTTTTGATTTGGGGCTACTCCAGAGTAACTCAGAGGTTCTGTGGTTTCCACTAGAGAGCAAAAGAGCAGCTCCATCTACTGATGGGCAAAGGAAGCTTGCAACCACTTTGAGTGCCCTGCAAAGAACATGTGTGTATGTGTGTGTGTTTTTGTGGGTCAGGGATTGATTGTGAGACCGAATTGCAAAACTCGGTCTCTTCTCCTCTACTGATCTGAATCCACAAAAGAAAGGAAGGCCACCAGAAACAAAACGCAACTTTTAAGTTGGGTATGGGATAAAGTTGGGTCGTGCTGGCTGGGGGATTCTGGGAGTTGAAGTCCACAAGTCTTAAAAGCAGCCAAGGTTGGACACCCCAGGTTTAAACTATGGAGAAACCGCCTAGGTTAAGATGACCCATGTTTCCCTTGGTAGCCACAGAGTCCCTGAATCTTGAACTGGCTGGCTTGCTTGAGCCTATAGTAGATGGATTACCTTAATGACCTCCTTTGCCAGCTTTACGGAGGAGGCGCTGAGTTGGATAACCAGACCAATCATTCCCAGCCAGCATGGGAGTTGCCGTCCAAGGCATCTGGAAGGCACAAGGTGAGGAAATGCTTGGTTAAGACAGCCGCTTTGCAGGGGGAGAAACGGCACTTGCACCCTGGATGAAACGCCCCATTGCCACCTGCGTTGGTGCCCGGGGAGCAAACGGTTGGTAACCACTGAACCAAGGCTTCCCTTGGCGTTAAAGCAAGCCCCTTGGGAGAAATCCTGCCCTTTGGGCTGCTCTGGGGCCCAGGGAGGAATTTAGGCTGTCAGTCAAGGAGGCGGCTGCTTTTAAGAGCAGACTCTGGCTGCCACTTGACTGCTTTGATGTGGGAAAGAGAGGGATGCACAGAAAGGGGCCTTTGTCCCATGCCAGAACGGTGCACACCAGGGGTGTCATTATCCGAGGTCTCTGCTGGTTGCGGCTTCTTAACTGCGGGGTTCTCCCACAGTTAATACAAAGCCAACATTCATCTAACCAATGTATGAGCAGGCTCACCTAATATCCCAGACCGATGCTGGAAAATAGCTTGCTCTTTGGCATGTCGTATTGGGCTATCTGAAACTGAGAGAGGAATGGTGCTCCCTAGACAGGCACTATCTTATTTAATAATGCAGAAAAATAAAATGGTAGGGTCTTAAAACAGTTCCCTGCTCCCAATTCCAGCTGGTATTGACAATTCTTTCCTTCCAGTTTTAAGACCCCCAAGAAGCTGAGCTGTAGATGGAAATGTCCCAGAAGACTTGAGGCGAAGAGGAAGATAGCGTATGAGTTTTTAAAAAACCTGTATGAGGATAAGGAGTAGAAGATGCTAAGATAGTGCAATACCTACAAAAAATAGAATTTTCCAGAATCTCGGAAGAAGGTAAAAATTTAATAAACCAAGGTTAGTTATATTATGACTTGGCTCAACAGCTTGTCTCGGCTGTCAGAAGGAGGGCAAGCTGGATATTTACATTTTCCTGATCAAAAACACCTTGTGGTTTGTCTCATACAGTTGTGTGTCTGTGTGAGTGTGGGTTTGTGTGTGATTCAAGGCAGAGTTGCTGAATGAAGGGTCGAAAGCTATAAACCCCCAAATCTCAAGTGCAACTTTAAACGTCAAACACAATCTCAGTTCTTAGAAGTTCAACCAGGAGGGTTCATTTTATTAAGGAAGTTGTGATAAAAGAGGAAAAAAATGCCTTTGTGTGTTCGTTTCCCCAGTAACCTTTATTATCAAATTAAGTACCCTTTCCATAAAACTGATTTTGGTGAATACTGGTCAGTAAGAGACAGGTGTAGCTTTGGGTTCACTTTCTCTTAACGTATTTCCCCTGGACCAAATGGTGCTCCATCTCACACACACACACACAAAAACCTCCCAGAGGGCGAGCCCTATTTCTTGGATGTTCAAATTCCTCCCAACGGGGTGGGGGGAGGGAAGGGGGGGAGAGGGGATTCAACCCAGCCAAACTAGCTTGCCAAGGCTCCAAGTTAGAAGTTCTAAATGTCGCCATCTTGAAAACACCTTGTTTATTAGACTTTATGGCGGTCTCTGAATGTCCCCTTAGTGAAGTTGGGGGTGTTCTGTCCCCAGGAATGGGATGGGTAGAGGGGGCTATGAAAGGGCTAATTTGCAACCTCTTTGAAAGAGCAAGGGGAGGTTTTTGCCTGCTTCGAGGAGCACCAGTTGGGACCTCACCCCATGCTGTGTCCCATCTTCACCTGCCCTGTTAAAGTTCTTCTTTCTCACTGTTCGACTTCTTTTGGAAGGAAGACAGGATGTTTAAGCGCTTCGAGAGTTCCTCTTTCTTCCCGTCGCTCATCTTGTTCTCGTCAATCAGCTTGGTGATCCGGGAGATCTCGTTGGGGATGAATGGGTCCCCCTGGGCAAGGATTTTGCCCATGATTTTGATGTATTGCTCAGCGGATTTGCGTTCGCTCTCTTTGGCCTTGGCCAAATGCTCCTGGCCCTCTTCCAGGAGAGCCTGGCGACGCTCAGGTTCTTGGGTGGCACTTACAAACTGGCTGGCCAAGGCATCGAATATTTTCAGGCAACCTGGCATTCCCATGTAGATCCCTCGGAGTTTCAGCCAGCGCTGGAGAGCACTGGCCTTGACCTGCCCGTCGTAAGGCAAGGGGTTCTCCAGGTCGCCATCTTGGAACAAGTAGAAAACTGGATACGAGTCTTTATCCAGTTTGTATTTTTCCCCCAACTCCATGTTCTGCTTGTCACCATAATCTGTAAGGAAAAGCAATATGAACTCAGGTGGGAGACTTGGATAGGGAGAATAACTAGTTAGTGGGTTTGCAGGTCACTGTTCACCTAAGATGTGATTAACCAAGAATCACTTTATCAGAGAGATGGGCAGCGTATAAATTTAATAAATCAATAACAAATAAATAAGTATGCGTAAGTGGCTTTTACAAAGGCCAAAATGAAAAAATTTCTAAGTTATGTTTGAGTGGCTTGATTAAACTATTACTATAACTTTCGCAATACAAAGGAACTTTGAAGGATGAAAATATGCAGCTGATAGAACCCCAACATTTCGAAGCCTTGAGGTCTAGCAGCTTGTTCCTCGCAAGGCTCATCCCGGCTGAAGCACAAGCCCAAAATGGTGCAACCCTTGAAGAGAATTCAAACTCTCTATGCATTCAGCCACTCTGTGCTATTGCTTTGATCGAAAGAAACAGCAGGTGTCATTTTAAAACTGGGACGGGAGGGGAATTTCCATTTCTAAAATGGCAGCAGAGAGGGGCCTCTTTTAGAATAAAGATTGAAAGTTGAACATTTGGAAACTCTCGTGTTTCCACTGAGATGAGACCCAGGTCACAGATGGGCCAGGAGGAAAAACGGTGTAAGATCTGTGTGGGTATTTGAAACCCTGCACCCAAAACCTTGTAATGGCTGAAGGCTCAGTGGTTAGAGCCGATACAGAGGGTACATCTGGAAAGTACCAGACTGAGCACATGACAATTAAGTAAAACCAGATAGTTTTGTTTATATGAGAGCCAGTTTGGTCCCACGGTTAAGGCACCAGGCTAAAAAGTGGGAGGCTGTGAGTTCTAGTGCTGCCTTACCCATGAAAGGCAGCCTTCAACCGAGCCCACCTCACTGGGTTGTCGTGCGGAATATAGGAGGAGGAAGGTATGTTGGACATGTTTGTCACCTTGAATTATTTGTCAAAATAATAAAGGCAGGATACAAATATATAAAATTAAAAAATCCTGCCTTCATTATTTTGATAAATAAGTCAAGGCAGCTAACGTACCCAATACGGTACCAAAATATAGCATGGATTTTATTTCTTACAACTGCACAACAATTTTAAGAAATAAAGAGAACTTCATCTTCTTCTTCATCCCAAATCAAACATCTGGACCTCAGGTGTGCCCAGGTAGGGATCACCCACCTGGGCAGAGCCCCATCTCACCTGAGATGCCCACCTCAGCCACCAACAAGTCATTGCTGGATTCCGAACTCTCGGCCACCTTTTTGAACTCATCCTGCTTCTCCCCGTAAGGGTACTGGGTGTCGAATTTCACCAAGACGTATTTGTGCTTTGGGATCACCTGTGGAAAGAGCAATACGTGCAAGGCTTTACAATAGAATAACAGAGTTGGAAGGGACCTTGGAGGTCTTCTAGTCCAACCCCCTGCTTAGGCAGGAAACCCTACACCACTTCAGACAAATGGCTGTCCAACATCTTCTTAAAAACTTCCAGTGTTGGAGCATTCACAACTTCAGTTGTTCTACTGTTTAATTGTTCTAACTGTCAAGAAATTTCTCCTTAGTTCTAGGTTGTTTCTCTCCTTGATTAGTTTCCACCCATTGCTTGGAAAGGGCTCTGCCTGTGAAAACCCAAAAGGATTGTCCCATACCGTATTTTCTCCATCATTTTCTCTATCAAAGTGTTGAAAACCTGTTATGTTCCCTGCTATTTTAAGCCATTTTTATTGGGTCCTCCTAGACCCACACATTGCAGCAAATTATAGTATTTTTTTTTTTTAATCAGGGTTCACTGAATAAAGGACACACAGTTGGGAGGGAGCACAGCACACATTAAGCCAGGGCATCTTGTCCCTTCAGAAAAAGTCTTCAACCTGGTCAGTCAATGTGGCCCTTGTCATATCACCTGGCAGCAGCAGGGAGAAGCCGGTGTCCAGGTCAATGTTTTTGAATCCAGACACCCCCCCAAACAATGGCTAACTAGGGTTTTTGGGGTCCTCATGTTTGTGTCACAGTGGACAATTTTTCCCTCAGATTCCAAGGGAGGAGAACATCTCCATTTCCAAATGCTGAGGCGTTGGGTCTATTCCTTCTATACTGTTGCTGAGGCAAAAAAAACAGCCAATGGGAACCCAGGGAAGTGAGGCCGTGTGGGCATTGGTCACTCACTGACTTGGATGGGTGAAGAGCCAATGAAACAGCGGAGACCCAAAGCCGGGTTACCAATCAGCTGTTTTGGAGGGGGGGAAAACGGCTATAAAAGGAGCAGCACGAGGGCATCTGTCAAAGAGCTGAAGAGAAGAGGATGGAAGAGCAGCCCTCAGGGGCGAAGGAACTGGAGCCGCTTGCTGCCTCAGAGTCGGCTGGGTTGGAGTCCTGGAAAAGCCAGAAGAGGCGAAAACAGCAGCCTTGAAGTCACTCTCCACGGGGCCTCTGGGGCAGCCAAGCCCCTCTAGGCTGAAGTCCTGGAAGGCCCTGAGGGCCAAAGAGGCCAGAGCAGCAAGTCTGATGGGCCACAGAGAGGAAGCCTCTCCAGAGAAGCTGGAGGCAGAAGGGGTGGAAGTTACTCCCTGCTATGTTGACGGACATCATCCAGACTGAAGGGCAGAGAGCTGGAAGGCCAGAAGGGCCAAGCAAGCAGCCCTGAGGGGCAAAGGCTGCCCTCCGCCTTAAGGAGGCGCCTCCAGAGCCAGCTGGGCTTGAGGAGGAGGAGGGTGTGGGGGGCAAAGGAGCTGGAGCCCCCCTGCAGAAGGAGCCGCTGGAAGTCTGCCACTACCCAGCCCTTCCCAAGGAGGAGGAGAAGGAGGAGGAGAACGGGTTATTCTGGAGTGGCTCCTGGAAGGAATCGCTTTGAGGCTTCACTAGCTCACTGCTCCCCGCTTGGGGAAACAGGCCAAGCAGCGTTCAGGTGGGGCTGCCTGGGGCCTTCCGGCTGCGGTTCCCACGCCTCCCTGGATCCAGAGCTGAGATGGGCAGCATTTATTTGAGAGATAATTATTAAAAAGCACTTTGCAGCCTTCGGGTTGCCTGAATCCGGTGGTTCTTGGTTATTTCTCACGCGACCCTGGGATTCCCGTCATCCCTGGGCCCCGCACCTCCTTGGGGGGGGGGGATACACTCTGCGCGTGGCCAGAGGCACCGCTGCCCGGTTTCAAAAGCCCGGCGGTTCCCAGGGCAGAGGAGGTCGGTCTCGCCCTCCACTTGGCTTCCCCGGATTGGCGAGTGGGGGGAAGCGGCCCGCTTTCTGCCCGCCCCCTCGGCTCTCCCGGGGAGGAGCGCTGGGCCGGGGGAAAGGGAAGGGGCTGCCCGTGCCTTGGAAGCCGCCCTAAGGGGAGGGAGGGAGGGGGGCTCAGCCGGGTCCCCCGCAACGCCTCGGCCCCGCTGCAAACCCCGCTGAGTCCCCGCGGTGCCTCCCTCTCCGGAGGGTCCCCGGCCAGGCGAGTGGAGCCCGGGGCAGGAGGAGGCTGCCGGGCCCGGGTTGCGCCCCGCCAGCCGCTCTTGGCTCGGCAGCCGCGCCAGCCCGGCTTGGGCACCGGGACGGGGCTTACCTTGTAGAAGGTGACGGTGTCCAGCGGGAGCGCGCCCTTGGTGTGCAGCGCGCCGCTCCGCTCCGGGGCCGCGCAGAGCAGCAGCAGCAGCAGCAGCAGCGCCGGGAGGAGCAGGCGGCAGGCGCGGCGCCCGGGACTCGCCATGGCGACCAGGTGGCTGCTGAGCGGGCGACGAGCGGGTGGAAGCTTCCTCGGCGAGGGAGGGAGGGAGGGAGGGGCTTGCGGGGGAGGTTCCGCCGCGCTCGCCCGCGCCCCCCGCAGGCCAAGCCGGGCAGAGGCTGCCGGGCTCCTCCCCCCAACCCTTTGGAGCGGACACCCCGAATATTTACGGGGAAAGCCCACCAAAATCTCTGGGCTCCCGGCAGGCCAAGGAGAGGATGCTGGGAGTTGGAGTCCGGCCGCTTCGGGGGGAGGAGCCGAACCCCTGCTGGAAGAGGACGGGGGGAGGGGCTGGGGGGGTCTTGGGCGCACCGCGCCGCTTCCTTAAATGTCCCCCCCCCCCCGGGGAGGGCCAAACCCCCTGAAGATGCCGAGCCTCGTTTGCAGGAGTCCCAGCTAAGCCTCCTTGGCGGGTCAGCGAGGAGCCCCGGCGTTCCCCGGACCGTCTGCATCCAGGCAGCGCCCCAGGGACCATTTGCAGGACCTGGGAGATGCGTGTCTGGGAATAGGGCCCTAAAAAGAATCCCTTTAAACCAGGGCTACCCAACCACCGCTGCTTTGCGGCTAGGCTCTACTGGCTGGGGAATTCTGGGAGTTGAAGTCCAGCGGTCTTGAAGCAGCACCGTTGGCCACCCCTGCTCTAACCACTCTGGCTGCAATTTTGGAAATGCTGGCCTGGCCTGTTGGTTTTCTCCTCTCCCCCCCCACCCCTTCTGAGATTTCACTAGACAACTTTTTAAAAGTCCAGCTTTAAAGGGTGCAAGCGTTGAACCCCGCAACCCTCCTAATACTGCATTTAGGCTGCAGAGAAGGGGACTTAAATTGCACCAAGCCGGCCTCGACTGTCCCAGCCTGAAACCTCCAACATCTGTCTGTCCCCAAAATGCTTAAAAGACCCTTTAAATGGTGTGTTTTGGATCGTGGCTAACCCCTGAAGATCATGAAACCTTCAGAGAGGTGAAGGCTTCCCAGTCTGAAAGAAACAAAAAGGCACAGAAAAAGTTGGTTATAAAGAAACTGAGTTTTTTTTATAAATTATAAACCCATTCAGTTTACAGCAGATTGTTAGCAGTTTTATCCTTTTAGATTTCTGTTGGTGGTTGAGGTGTTTTACATAAGTCACAAATTAAAAAACAGCAAATCAAAGCAAAGAAGCTCCACAGCGAATAGAATCGGTAGCCGAATACCTCTCTTCTTCTATAGCTCAAATAAGAGGCAAAACAAACCCAATGATTCAATTATCAGAATTTCAAATATAAATTCAATTTCTAAATAGTAAGAAAATGATTTTTTTTTTAAAAAAAAATGATAAACCCTAAACTTCCAAAGCTGGAAGGGGAACACAGTTGCACGGAAGTTGTTCTTCCTCAAAAGGAAACTTGAGTTTACAGAAAATATAACCCAAAGGTTTTCATTCCTAGAAGTTGCCACAGAAGGACCCTGAGTCAAACATTTCTTCTTCTCAAGCTTTCAGCTCTTTTTAAATACCCCCCAAGTACGTTGACCCACTTCCACAAGCCTTGGACAAAATAATGTCACAAATTCAGAATTTCACATTTTTGCGCAAAAGGGAAAACACCAGCACTAGTTTCCAGCAGCTTCTCTCCCCCTACCTGTTTTTTCTTGGGGGGGGGGGGCAGGGGTTGCATCTTCTCTGTAACAGAAGGAAATCCTAAGAAAACCAAGCTCTCGAAAAGACTTTAACAATTGAAACAAACACAAGTAATTTGTGTAACAGGTGGTCACCTCCCTACTTGATCAAATGAGGAAAGCTTTGGAAATGTTTTAAAAGGCGATCTCAAAAGTGAAGAATTTCTTAGAGGATGGCATGAATAGTCAATATTTTTTAAAATACTTTTCGGATGAAACAAAAAATGGTTTGGGGAAGGAGTCGGTTTGTGAAATCACCTTTAAACCCCAAGAATCATGAAGTGCTCTGACGGGGTTTTTACAAGGCTATAGCCACCATTTCATTTACAGAACAGGCATTTTGAATCAAGCTATCGACTAGAAAAACAATATATTCAGAACTGACGGTGGAGATTCCATCCTTCCTTAAAACATTCTTTAAGTCTTTTAAGTTGCTTCTCAATCGAAGCTCCAAAACATCTTTCTAGAAATTATTTTATTGGAAAAAATAATGCATCTACATATTTATTCTGCCCTTCTTTTTCTCAGATTATATAACAAACCCTGCAGGAGTCATGTTTTTGTACAAAAATCGCCTCCGCTGTGTGGCATCTCTTGGTAGGATACGTCCACAGCAGGTTCAGGTAAAGCTCCTTATTTCTCACGGGGCAGGTAGGGCTGCCTCTAGAACAGGCGAGAACCTCTCCTGTTGGGGGCAGGTGAGATGGGCATTGAGAAGACAAGCTGTGGGGAGGCCATCAACAAGCTGGATGTGCTGGCAGACAGCAATAGATGAGGCTGAACACCCACCAAAGCCACTCCTTCGAAGTCTAATGAGAAAGTAACCTTCGCTTACCTGACTCTGATGCTACCTGCTTATCTTCCTGGGCATAAACTCTATGTTCAAGAGGCTTCCTTTCTATCTGGCAATTGATCGTTGTTTAGGAAGAAACAGGAGTGCACCCCCTGGTTTTTAGTATCCGCTGATTTAAAAGAAATACAATGGTAACCAACCAATCCTCTCAAGTAACTCAGAAAACACCAGCTTAATGATATCACAGAACAGTGAAACCTGCTAAGATGTGAACAACGAAAGGCCAACTTCTTGTCTGTAACCAAGACTGGCCACGCAGGAGCGCAAGCCCTTTTTTCACCCAACAGCTCTGAATGTCAAAAGGCCGAACGCTTGAAGCCCCCCGTGGCTCAACAGGTATTTTGGGAGTCGCTCCCAAATTCTGTTCCGAATGAGAGGAGGGTGGGAAGGATTTGAAAGCAGTTGGGAGTTTTTAAATTCTCCATTCTTGGGTCCCATCCAAAATCCACCTCACACACATCATTCAAGAAGGGATTCGGGAGCGCTTTGAAATGAAGAGAAATACGAAAAACGGTGGTTCAGCTCAACTCAGCCGGCCTGTCTTGACATGCAGCTCTGAAAGTGGAAGAAACATCAAGGCACCACTGCACAGCTTTAGACTCGGAAATGATAACAGCTCCGTTGAGGGGTTTTTTTGCTACCAGTTACATCGATCACCTTTTACCTGATTCCTATGGAATTCTAGGTCCAGTTGCATTTCTAAACAAGTTTTCCCAATTTCTTGGAAACAACTGGAGTAGGCTTTAATTGAGAACACCATTCTCCGACACTTACGGGGTACAGAAAAGGAGGTTTGATGCTGGAACCGACGCTGGTCCTCTTTCGACCAATTCGAACGGCTGAAAGGGAAGTTGCATACATAAAAGGAGAATAGAAGACCCTGTTGTAGAGCAGATCGTCAGATTTACTTGGCTGGGGCAGAAGCAGGAAGGGCCTAAGAGATGCTTAGGGGGTCCACAGCTGACCTCAGGCCTGGTCATTTGCTTCTCTACGGCAAAAATGTGCACGCAAACGAAGTGCTGCCTTGCCTGTGGGGAGGGGGAAGTACAAATTCCTTCGAAATAGGCTTCACACTGGATTCCTATTGCTGCTTCTAAAGAGCTGGGAGACCCCCCGACAGTTTCTGAAGAACTCCCCCTCCCCCAGCCAAGGGAGGCGCAACGGGTTAGGCCGGGGATCTGGAGTCTGTTGCAATCTGCTGATGAACATGTATAAACAGTGGTCTAATAACCCTGACTGTGGAGGGTCCCTGTTTCCATTCTTTTAATGTACAATAATTTAATCAGCTTGAATATATCTTTTTAATACATAAAAAAAGTTTGTGATCAAAGTCCTTCATGCATTTATGAGGAAGTTCCAGATTTTAACACAGAAGGGATGGTCGATGTTGCTTATTTGACGCCAATGCTTCGATCTGGCTTTCTGCACAAGGAGAAGGCGTTTCATCAAACCTTTAGATTTTTTATCGTATCGAGTCTCTTTTTCAGCAGCTCTCCAATTTCTTGAACCGAGTGCTGGTAACTACTCTGGACTTTCCCTAGCGCAGTCTTTGTACACTTCTTTTCCTCCTGGATAAAAGACAAGGACACGCACACGAGATCATCAGAACCCAATCGGACGGACTCTTGATTTATTCCCATAAAGATCTCCAAATAACGATAAATTTACATTACAATCTTTGAGTTTCTAAGAAGAGATGCTGGGAAATTAAAGGAAGAAACTAGCTTAAGGGTGCACCGAGTTGGACCAGCCGAAGTATCTGAGCTAGCCATCTGCTGGGAACTTCAGGCTGGTATGCCAGCTGTAGTTTTTCCACGCACAAGAAACATTTTAAGCAAAAAGCCAGTGTAGGAAAATGAACAGAAAGAACAAGATAAATTCTGACTATAGGAGAGTGGAGAACTCTTTATTTAAAAGCTAGGTACTATTTCTTACCTGCAAGAGTGAATTATTGTCTATGTACAGCTCTTCAAGTTTAAGTGCAGTTAAATTAATTTCAAGCCCTTTGAGGTGATCTATCACGTTGGAAGTGAGCGTCTGAAGTCCAGAAACATAGTCTTGGAAGCTGGTGAACACAGGAGGCTACAAAGATGTGCGAGAGGGGAAAATGTAAAAGGCCTTCCTTGGTCTGTCCTCAATTGTTTAATGAACCGTATAAAGAATTTGTTCTCAATAATCAGGAATCAGTAGTCAAGCTGTGGCTCTGGGCGGGAGGGGGGAAGAGGAGGAGGAGGAAGAAAGGGCATCATGGTCTAGCCTACCATGGCCACGCTGCTTTCTTTTTTCTTCTTTTTCTTCTTCTGCAGGCTTGACTTCCAGGGCCGGAGGACGGCATCCGAGTAACTGCAGACCCACAAGACGATGGAGATGGTCTGTGAGGATGAGAAGGAGGGGGAGGTGCTTTAGGGGCGTTGCTGCCTTTTGCAGCAAGGCAGGCTGGGTGGTTCCGATCGCCCACACTCACCTCCACAAAGAAGACCAGATTTTCTAAAATATTTGGATGGGTTTTGAAGCTGCCCTCCCGGATTTCCAACAAATCACCTTTGCATTTATTGACCTGATCTTAAGAAAAGAAGGACAGGGAGAAAGAGGGGAGAAAAACGGCTTGTGGATATTTAAGTCTTTTGCAAAGCAACACAGACACCCATCCTTTCTCTTTGCATCCATACAGACTCTGGTCCCTTTTATTGAATTATGGAAGTTATAATGGATATTCCTCCCAGAAATAGACAAAGCTGTCGTGGTCCATGTTGCTTATTTTCAGGGCCCGATGCTCTGAAGCAGAGCTCTTCCTTCCCATCTGTAAAATGGCCACATTCCTGTAAGCCATAACGGGTCACGCTCCTTCTGTCCTCTCCTGCTGCTTTTTCTCATTCAGCATTTTTGTAACTTTCCTCCTCAACTCCTGCAGGAGGCAGAACCAACATATGCCAGAAGTGCAAGCTACTTGCTTAAAGAAGGTGTCTGAAAATAGGCTAAGAAGGCCGGGGCAAATCAGACGTAATTGAAAGAAAAATACCGAAATAACTAACTCATAGGGCCTTTCAAGGCTTTCTCTCAAATTCTGCAGTACCGGTCACTTAAGATGCCTTTCCTATTAATGCTGCATACTTTCCTAACATTAACCTAACTGAATAATCAGAAGCCTGCCTTGCGTTTACACACTGTGGGTGAAGATATCCTTTGTAGTTCTGCAGAGGTGCTCTATGAAAGCTAGCTCTTTTAGGAAAGGGAACCCACAAAGCATGTCCACAAGTAAGGAAGCAGGTTTGTCAGGTCTGAAGCAAGTCAGAATTCTTGGGGACTTATTGGCAAAACTGGCATACCTGTTAGTTGCTCCAGTAACGATTTCAAACAATTTCCTATTCGCTCTTGAATTGCCGTGGAATCTTCTGCAAATAAATAAGGGATCCAATTGTTTATCCAATCAGATGGTTTATCGTAAATACACAAATTAAGGGGGGGGATGTTAGAGGAAACAAAAGGAAAATGCAACGATGGCACAACTCAGTTATAAAAGTTGTGGACTTCAATTCCCAGAATCCCCCAGCCAGCAAAGTTAAAGTTGCCAAGGTTGGACACTCCTGGACTAATCCCTATTTCCCACTCTCTCTCCCGTCAGCCCCAAATCGAAGGAAGTTGGAGGGCTTACCTAAGCCATTGGTATCTAATTCATAAATTTCACTAACTAGATAAAACAAGCTGATTTGGGACTGGCAGCTCCCACTGTCAAAGAAGCTGGCCATCCGTGAAGGAGGGGGCCCGAGGACCGGATACTGTGGAAGGAGGAGAAACACGGCGTATATCACATACTTTCCAACAACAACAACAAAGACAATGTTATTTGTGATCTAACCCAATTCATGCTGTTGCAATCGGTCTATTTAAAACAATTAGCATTCTTTCCCTGACCTATACCTGAATATTTTTCTGTAGAAACCACTTCCCCGATCTCACTGCATCGTCCAGCTGCCGCAGGAGAGTCCGGACGGTGTCGATCTTGGAGGAAACACCATTCTCAGTGCTTTTTTCTGAGTTCTTTGGCTGGCTGCTATGGCCAAGAGCTGGCAGCCCGCTTATTAACCGTAATGTCAGGGACCGAATCCGCAACCAGGTGGTCTCTTCCTCCAAAGAGTATTTTCTGTGCTCTTCAGAAATATTCCTGAGAGAGAAACGGAAAGAGGGAGAATTTAGATCCAGAAACGTGTAAGCAGGCTGCCTATTTTTTTTATCCCTATCTCCTGAAACTTGGGAGTCTAACTCAGCATTTGTGTCGTCCCTTCCATCCACAAGCTACAGTAAAACCTTATTTTAACAGATCTTTTGTGAGTCTGAGGGAGGAAAATTAAATCCAATTGGATGGAATGGAATTCAATTCTTTATTGGCCAAGTGTGATTGGACACGCAAGGAATTTGTCTTGGTGCATACGCTCTCGGTGTACATAAAAGAAAAGATACATTCGTCAAGAATCATAAGGGACAACACTTAATGATAGTCATAGGGTACAAATAAGCAATCAAATCATATTAGGAAACAGTCAATATAAATTGTAAGGATACAGCAACAAGGTTACAGTCATACAGTCGTAAGTGGAAGGAGATGGGTGATGGGAACGATGAGAAGATGAATAGTAGTGCAGACTTAGTAACTAGTTTGACAGTGTTGAAGGAATTATTTGTTTAGCAGTGATGGCGTTCGGGAAAAAACTGTCCTTGTGTCTAGATGTTCTGGTGTGCAGTGCTCTATAGCGTCATTATGCAAATGATCCAGAGCACAGGGTTTGTCTGGACTTTTCTGGAAACACCCAAATAGGTTCCTGGGTGAAATCTGAAGTAAAGAACTGCCTTCTGAATGGAGCTCTGGAGCTTATTCCTAACTGGATCTATTATAATCCAGGGTGATCTATTTATTCCAGGTGGCTGGATAAACACCTAGTGTAAAGCCTACACTGTCCCTGGATCTATTCCCATCTCCCTTCAGATCATCTAAAGCTCCTACCGTCCAACATCAACGTTTCTGCTTACTTGTCTTTTGGATCCCAGTTAAATAGGACGGTGAGGTCTCTATTATCTCGCAGGTCTTTCCAGGGAATGTCATCCTCTTCCAGACTTAGGCCCATGGATTTAATACTTTCTTCCAAACTCGTTGATCTGGTTCATGAGGAACCGAACAGAAATGCTGGGTTAGGCACTTAAAAGAGTTTGTTCAGCTTTGTTTTTTTTTTTTTTCAATGTGGCCATCGAAAGTCTCCCGACTGCAAGGGAAAACGCGTCAGGTGACGGATTCTGCTTTCATCAAAAGCTTTACTCTCTATGAAAATAAGCCAAACATGCCCAGTTACGCATGCAGGACGTGCAAGTGGACCATTTTCAGGGTGCTGTCAGTTTCCTGGATAGAAAAAAGTGGACCCTGCTTGGGCTGGACTCCAGTTATTTCAAGCGTTGCTAGGAATCCTCCTTCCATTTTTTAACAGAGTTGTCTATCTCTGCTACTCAAACCCGACCCAGTTTTGCTGCCTTCCCAGGAAAAGCCCTTGCAGAGTTACAGACATTTCTCTGGACTCACATATTGGCTTCCAGGAGGAGATCCAGCAACATCCGTTCTGTGCGGACTTGTGAAAAATGAAGGGAGGCGTTCAGCCTGTTCCTGAAAGCGATGAATTCTGGGATCTTCTCAAACGCACCGTATTTATAGGCCTGAATGATGTATTCTGAGGTCTGCAAAGAAAACACAGGAGGGCCTCAAGGCTTGAGGACAGTCCAAGGGGGACTGATTTCTATGTAACGCCTGAGTGAGGGGAACGTTCAAGAGGCTCGTCCCAATCCTTGGGGGGTGGGGGGGGTAGCACTTGTGCAGCCTTCACTCTGGAGACTTGCACAAACTTTCATGAGTTCAGTCTCGAAAGCTGTCAGTCTTTCACAAGCAATTGGGGGGGAGGGGAAGGAAAGCAGGAAGCGCTGTTGTTGCTGAACTTAATCAACCTTGCAGGGCTGACACAAGAACAGCTGAGGAAGTATGGCCATGGGCTTGAAGGTTTGGAAATTATTTGTTAACTCGTGCCGATATCGACCCAACCACAAGTCCATTCCTCCTTCCCTCCCTTCTGCTTCTCCTACCGGGCTCTGAGTATCTACGTGAGACCAGGCAAAGGGAGAGGTACGGTGGGAAGAGCTGGCTCTGCTTCAAAGGACTTTGCACATGGTATCTGAAGAGGAGAAACGGATGCTTCCTCCTGTTCCCACACTTACATCTTTCTGGTTGGAGTGGAAAAACCTGAGTGCAAAGTTGCAGGATTGGGACGCAGCAGCATAGTGGCCAAAAGCTGTGGCATAGCGGGTCAGCATGTATCTGCAATGCAGAATGAACAAACCAACAAATCAACGAACCATACTCACAAACCATGAAAGCTGGCTCCGCTTTCCCAGCTGAATGAGCATAGCTTTGTGGTATCCCTGCCGTTTCTTCCCATTATTACCCCATGTAAGGGAAACCCAGGCCACTATTTTTAAGGGGGGGGGGAACGGGGCGACACCCTGCACCCAGTATGCCAAGAGCTAGTACATTCCAATGGTTTGCCTAACCAAAATGTTCATTTTGACTGAAGAAGCTACTTGGAATACGTAACAAATCGTCTCTATTTAATAAACTTTGGTTGTTACCAAGATATAACCTTTTAAAAGATACTTTTGCCTGGATGATGGTGTCTTTATTTACATCTAGGAACACTCAAGCAAGGAGGTAAATCGGAGGTTGCTGCAGAAACTTTAAAGTCCTTCCCGCAAAGGGGCACAACGGCACCTCTCCTTGCCCCAAGACCCCCACAGGACCCTTTCCCAATCTCTGGTGAACAGAGGAAAGACCAGGCAGGCGGCCCCCTTCCCTGCCCAAGACAGCAGCTTCACAAAGCGCCCCCTCCCCACCATCCAGGAAGAGAGGCGAGTTACCCACCCAATGGTATCGTGTTGTATGTGCTTGGCGTCGAGGCTGGAGTAGAGCTCCACCACCGGCTCAAAGGCCCCCAGCATGCAGTAGATTCGGATGAGCAGCAATTTGAACTGGGCGTTGGAAGGGCTTGAGGTCAACCCTTCCTCTAGCAGAGTCAAGCACTGCCAGACGGCTGATTCCTCGCCTGGAGGGGGGTAAAAACACAGTTGTGAAGCCGCGAGCGAGAAGGTAAGGAAGGGGCTCTGAAAGTCTGTGAAGGCACCTCGCATAAGTGACTAATTTATCTTGTTCTTCTTCAAAGCTGCATTGTATTCATAACGAGGGAAGAAATTCCAAGATTCAATGTGCAAAGAACACCTTTATGATGTCCCCAAACTCCAATCCTTCTGCTGCTTTAGCAGATAATAGATTTGATCTAGTCTTACGTGAAGAACAGAAGGCTTTCTCTCTTAATTTTTCCATGCCACACATCATCATCATCTTTTAACGACCCCATAATCCCTTCTGGGTTGGAGTCTGGGCAACTGAATGGAGCTAGCAGAGCGTTTAATGGCCGGATGCCCTTCCTGTTGCCAATGTGGAGTTTTGTTCAGCAGATAAGATTCTCATTGTGCCCAGAGAGAGAAATATCTGCCTCTACCTAGGATCGAACTCACAGTCTCCTGATTGTGAGGTGAGAGCTCCACCTCTAGGCCACTGCACCACTCTTCCATGCCACACATAACTGCAGAAATTTCTTCAGCTTCACCCACTGACTTTTGTTGTTGTTAATAAACTAAGCAAGCTATGACCCCGCCTTCCAAAGTCATTTCTGATCACAGACGGGTGTTGTAATAACATACCTGCTTCCAGCCAGAGGTCAAGCAGCAAATGAACAGCAAGCAAGCAGTAGTAATCTGAAAACTGTAACTCTGTTTTCAAACAGGATTTTCCTGGGGGGGAAACAAAGCCACAAAAAAGAACATTTTATGCTTTCAAACATGAGCTAGCTTGGTGAAAATGCTATTTAACATTTCTTGCAGGTTTACTTAAAATGCTAAATTTCCAATTCTCCAAAGTCAAAATGTAACAGCGAGCAGATTTAACTAGCAGGGCTAAAGAACTCGTAAGTCGGTCAATGATGCTCTAGACCTCCTCAGACAATGGTTTAAACCCAACCAGTGAAGGCAGATGCCCAAGGCAGACTCCACGAATGGCCAAGAGGCCCGACACTCTCCTCACCAAAATCTAATCCGTGCCGATAACGTAGCATCAAGTCCTGGACCGCTGCCAGTTTTTGAGCTGTGTCGTCCATGGTGTGGAAGAGTCCAAGCAACCGTGTCAACTGCATCACACACAGGTGTTGTTGTAAAGCTTTGATATTAGCTGGGAGCGCAAGCCTGCCTTCCGGCGGGACAGAAAGGGGGATGACCCCCAATAACTGGTTGATGAACTGCAAACAAAAGGAGAGGAATCTGTCAAACACAGCCTCGGGAGCCCAGGATGCAGGAGGGAGGCGGGAGTTGTCAGCGAGGCTACCTTTGTGTATTGCGTTGATGGAAGGAGGTCAACGAACACCTTGAGATCTGTAAAGCAGCAAGGTTTGTCCCCAAACATCTTGAAGTACTGGAACATGAGTTCTTCTGGGTTGCCTAATAAAGAAAGAATCAGCAGCTGAAAAGTGGCAGAATCAGATTTTGGATTGTAAAACTCTCCTAATATTCATGAGGTCTCTTGATAACGGTCAAAAGCCAGCAAAGGCCCAGAAAATTGTTCAGGAGAGCCCAGTGAGTCACCAAACTGGCTTTTGGGGGAATCTGGGACTTGAAGTTCACCCATCTTAAAGTTGCCAAGTTTCAAGAACGCTGATTTTAGGATTTACTTAATTAACGAACCCTTCCCTTGCAAAACCAACCAACCATTTAAAAAAAAAAAAAAAAAAGGGGGGGGGGAAGGCAAGGAAGGACAATGCAAGCATCTTCACCGTGTGACATTAAAAATACAGCCCAGGAACTCTCTCACCCTGGGGCAATTATTCCCCTCCTTAAAAAAAACAGTCAAGCTACAAAATAAAGTAATGATTCATTAGGGTTTGTTCTTCTTTTGAGCACTGAGGAGCTGCACAGAGGTGTGATAGCACACCTTGCATTACTGCAACTTAGGGGAGCCTCAGCATTTGCACTATTATCCACCTCCAGGAAAACTGCCAAGATTTATAATAGAAGACAAATTGTCTCCCCAGTGGCCGGTGGATGCCTGCAATTCTTGTGCAGAGTTTACATCAGCTGCTGCAATCCCCTGACCCCGTCTCCCCCTTGCGCACCCGCCCCCAAGAGGCTCATTCCAGCATCCCTGCAGCCGCCCTTACCCAATTTCTGTTCTTCAGGGTAGCCTCTGTGCCGCAAGCGGCTGATCAGTTCCAGCTGGGCCAGGTATGGTCCCCGAAGCGGGCGGGCGCTGTTGGACTCGTGGATTAGCCTCTCTTCTATGAACGCGATGGCCTGCTCTGTGCTGTGATGCACGTCTCCTTCCAGAGAACTGAGCACAAGAAGGGCTGTGAGATTCAGTACCTCCATTCCATCTCTCTCTCTCTTCCCCCCATTTGTTCAGCTCCAGGACACAAATTTCTTCCTCCTTTCTCTTTGTATGAAAGATTCCCAGCCTCTCAAAGCCCTCCAAGAGGAGAATACTCACTGCTCTCCTTCAGCTGGAGGCGTCCAAGCCATGCCAATCAGTTGAAAGAGGGAATCGAAGTAGATCATGTAGAACTGCCAATCATCTGGGCTAAAACAGAAAAAAACGAGGGAAAGGAAAAAGCTGAAGGGCAGTGGAGAATGCCTCCTCTCTTGCCGTCCCTTTTGTGGGCATTCAGAGTGGACCTACCAGGGAAGGAAATCAAAACTGTTTCCTGAAAGGAAGACGAAAGAGTCTCCCCACCCTCAACTGGCTGTGAAGAATGCATTGCACGGCTCGTCTGAACGTCACAATAATAAAGTGCATGGATTAATGATGCGTGCAGATGAGGGAGCCTTTGAAACGGCAAAGGTAAGTTAGGGAAAGGGTCGCTTGTTAACAAGGCCCTAGATTGGGTGGCGGGTCAAAGAACAAGAAAGGTTAGGCTAAGCAGTTCTAGTTAATAAGATGGACGCCTCTAAGTATAATTGAAAGGGGGGGGTAATGTTCCAAGCGAAGAACAAAAAGGAAAGGTTCCTCTTGGGGGCATCTAATGTTTTCAGTAGCCTGGGAAACATCACGGCAAGGATGGAAAAGGGCTGCCCAAGGTAGGGCCCAGAGGCCCCGCCTACATTTCCTTACTTTTTAAGCAGAAGTTTTCTCGAGAGAGCGTTGCACTCTGGCCATTTGCCCAGCTTCCTGTACATCTCCATGCACTTATTTTCTCTGCTCTGGAGCGCACTGGTTAACTTGTCTAAATATAATACACACACACACACAAAAAATGAAAATTCACATTAAGGAGCATGTCGATTTCAGAAGCAAAATCCTCTTTCGTCCAGCAAAAATTGGACTGCAGGGAACCAGGGAAAGTTTTCTGGGGTTTAATTTCAAAACCGCCTTATATAACCCAAGATGCAAAATATCTGGCATGGACACACCTTTGTAGATGAGGCCATGATAAAAGCATATAGTTTTGCAAATTGAGGCAACGTTGAACTGCAGGCAACCCTCTGTGTGACAGATTACATCTCTTTAACAAAGGCACTGGAAAATTTTACCTCCCAATTTTCCTCTCACAACATCCAGAGCTTCTTGGTATTTTTCCAAGCGTTCTAGAATCATGTAGTAAAGTTCCACCTAGTAGAAGTGGACAGCAAGAGGAAGAGATAAGTCAAGAGGAGAGAGAGAGAGAGAGAGAGAGCAACATGCCACCATTAGCTCCACTAATTTATCTTCGGGGCTACCCTTTAAGAAGGGGAGAGATATTTCTTGGACTATTTAATAAACTGTATCATAAACCAAAATCATTTCATTGCAACTGATGTTGAGCTTAAATAGAATTGGGAAAAAAGTCTTACTTCTGCTTCGGCTTCTATTTTATCTTCTTTCACCATTTTTTCTACCATCCTTTCAGCTAGGGGTAAAAACATGGTTTTTGAGAGCTTTTCATCCTGCGCAGATATTGACTGCAAGAAAAAAACACATAGAACTGCCATATAGAGAACCAGCCCACCGTCTGGCTAACATAACACTGTTGGTTTCTAGTTTTTCTCTAGAGGAGCCAAAGCAAGCAAGTCGAATCACACCCTTCTTTCCAATTTACCACAGGCCCAATCCAAAATATTAAGTCGGGTGAAACACTCCAACCAACAAGAACAGTAGTCAGCCAAGTGGCTGCAGTTGTATGCTCATTATTCCAGAAGAGCAGTGACAGGCACCTGATCCCAATAGAACCACTGATGCCAACGTCCCACAAATACAATATTTTTACAACTTCGTAAAAATAAATGAGTGTAAGACTCTGGCCATTCAGCTGTCCTGATTGCTTCAAGTGACAGTCAGTTATCAAATTTCACCCCTTTCTCAAAGGATTCAAGTTTCCTTGTAAATCCTCAAGCTAACATATGAATCTCAACCACCAATTCCAGAATTCAGACGTTCAATGGAAGTGAGAGAGAGGACAGCACAATGAAGAGTTTCTTTTCCCCTTTTCTTCACCTCAGAACGGGCTGCAGGTAGCACTCACCATCTCTACTTATGTATGGCTCAAATGAGAATGTAGGGGTCTGCAGAAGACCCTTGCATTTCCCAGTAGAGAAATGTTATTATTTCACAGCACATTCTCATCCAATTTGTTGATCGAATTGCACTATGAAAATAAGGTTTAATGTAGCTCACTCTCAACCTAATTCTGGAAACTATAACCTCAACTACATGCTCTCTGTAGATCTGGAAGACGCCAAGTTAAGAAAGGCTGTGCCGCTGTATGACAACCTGTGCTTGCAACATATATAATCTACCTCTAACATCTACTTAGCATTTTCATATATTTTAATCCGAAAGTCAGCCAATTCCAAAGACAATTTTCTCTCCTCTGAAATGTGGTACCTACCTGCATTATTAAACTCATCACGGACCAAAAATAGTATGGGTTTTTAGGGACAATCTTATAAAGGGCCATTCCAGCCTGGAAAAGAAGAAAACACAAATCAGGATGACAGAGAACTTCACAGAAAACAACCCGCTGGCCAAAAGCTATAATATTCTAGCCAACGGTGACCTCTAAGGAGAGTCTTTACACAATTTCAAAGTGTTTGCTGACAGGAAGGGAACGAATGAGGGAGGCTCCCTTCTGTTATATTTTGGACTACAGAATTGCAACCTAGATGGGCAGGAGCTGCCACCACCCTCTTCTGTCTTCTCTGGCCTGGCCCTCACTGCACTTTAGGTATTGGCTTTAAGAGGGAACAGGAAACAGCAATCAAAACTCTGCCGTAACCTGACACTCCCTGATGTCATATGAACGTCCTTCCAAAGAAGAAAGTCTGCTCAGGAGCCTCAGCAATTCCTCCGGCTAAAAGAAGTGAAATTTTGCATTTCATGGGTGATCCGCGAAGAGGCCTGGGTCTCCTTGGGGGAGGGAAGCCAGTTCCTTCCCTGAGAGAAACATGCCTATGATGCTGGCAAGTACCTGCTGCATCTTCTTATATTCTCCGACTCTTGCATAAGCCATGAAGAGATGAGAATGGTATTCCTCACTGCTGGGAACTTTCTTCACGGCTGCCTCGTAGAGTTTCGTGACCAGCTCAGCTGAAAGCAGATATTCTAAGCATTAAAAGTAGGCAGGTGAAGACTTAGAGCCCTTTCATTATCGTAACAGGACTGAAAGATTTGGCACTATTTGTTTTCTCAAAATGCATCTTGAGACCTTCTCTTCTTTGGGATGGCACCAGGGCTTGGCATCCGTGATCCCAACCACCCCCAGAGGACTGCAATACTGACTCAGCTGGCAGTTTGAGGGATCAGGTTTAACCACACTTTCATTCCCCAGAATGTTTTGGAGCCATAAAATGGGAGGTGTATAAAAATGGTTCCCTGGCCTAGAAGTTTGGCATTATGCCACAAGCAACCAAAACCACTACCACCACCACCCATTAATTCAGAAATTGTTTCTGCTCGCGCCCCCCCCCAATAAATTTCAGCAAGAATGAAAAATAAACATTTCCTTGAATTAAGAGTTATAACTAAAATCTTGGCAAAATAGGATCTGGGGTCATTTTTGAGAGGACCCCTCCTTCAACATATTGAAGAAGGGCTGATGAGATGCATGTGGGTTGGAAGGAGAGACAGTCTTCTTAAAAATGAAAATAAAAACCCTAAAGGGGTAAGGATAGCTGGAAAACGTACGCCGATGCATTTCTCGATACAGGATTGTCAACGCCTGCAAGGAATTGTCATCCGTGGGTTCAAGGGCTGCTACTTCTTGAGCCAAAGTAAATGCTTCGTCTTGTCTCCCAGTTCTTTGCAGGCCAATTGCTTTCAAAACCTGTGCGCAGATCAAATAATATTTTAAGAGGTTTTGAGGCAGCTGTCAATAAGGATAGTCACGAAAAATCCCATTCCAAGAATAATCAACAAAGAAATGGTTTAGTGGGTCAAACGTTAAATCTCAGAAGTTGAACACTAACTCTGATTTACCTTAGGATGCTAAGCCATGCTGAGGTGGACAAATACGTTGAAGAAGAATTACCTACTTCAACAACCCGGAGCTTGATCAACATGGCAAAGTTCATCTCACTGGACAGGGGAAAAACCAGGAGCAACAAAGGCAATGTTGCAGAGGGGGGAAAAACTGCCCCACAAAGGATGACTTCAAAGCTTAGCTTTAAAGTCTGCAGCTCTGGTTGTTCGACCCAGCCCAACCCTTTCTAGGGAGGCGACAGGCAGAAAGCAGACTCTGGCCCTTGCTTATTCAAGATTTAAGACAAAGACAACTTAACAAAATAAACTAACTGTGAGCTCACCTTAGCACAGTGAAGATCTCTGTGTTTTTTTAGCAGTTTGTCTGCTTGCTGGATTGCCATTTTATTATTGCCATTATCAAGATAATCTAAAGAAAAGAAGGGAGAATTACTACAGACTATAAAGTTGAGAATCAGCTCCCCCCCCCACACGGCAGGGTTTCCAGGTGAGCTGGACTACAATTCCCATCCCTGTTGTAATGGATAAAGTAATTGGAATGGGCTCCACCCAATACATCAGTAGGGCATCCTTCTGAGAACAGCTTATTCTCCACGGAAGAGTTTTCTTGTTTGGATTGGAAGAGAGGGCTGCTCTTGGTTTCTGGTGGGAAACGAGTGGCTTCCTCAGATATTTGGTGACTCTTTGGTGGCTGCTTAACATGAGGTTCAACATCCTTAAATCTAACTCACTTTCACAAACCACAGTAGGAAGGTGTTTGGTCTCCAGCTTCCAATCTGACTTGCTGGAAGAGAAACCGGCCAGAACTCCTAGTTATGAGGGGTCCTTGATGCTCTGTTGAGCATGGTTGTTTTCTCCTTTATTGGTAGCTCCTGGTTAATCTATCATACTGAACAATCAAGCTCCTACGGCCTAACCAATCTTGCTGGAACCAAAGAAGAACCAAACAGGCTTTTTTCATGACCTAGCATGAAGCATAGACAATATGAATTCCATCTATGATAGATGCAAAAAGAGATTCTTAATAAGGAAACTTTGTGGATATTTTGCCACCATATCAAAGGAGCAGAGAATTAAAAAGATGTGACAGTCAGCCACAACAAATTACTTCAAACCTGTTAATTCAACTCCTTGAATATTAAGTATGATTCCCAGGCTGGACTTGAGAAAGTTAACAAAGTTTAATGAAGCTTCTAAACAATACACCATAAATTAAAACAAAAAGCAAACTAATGCCAAGGGAAAGACTCTTAGCTCTCATTAAAGAAGGTATTAAATGAGATAAAATCAGAACTTGCCTGGACATTACATTAATTGTAAATGTAAATGTAGTTATATAAAAAAAACCAAAAATGTTTTTATGACACGCACCAATTAATACTAACATTGTTTTGAAATATTATTCAAAATAATACTAAATTGCTTCCAATCTCTTTCAGCATTGTCTTTCAATACAGAATTTGTTCAGCACTGTGGTGTTCATATCTCCAATTTAGAAACTATCTGATATGTACATATAACGTTACGCATTTTAAAAAATGGTTGAGAAACCTTCTTTTCCATTAGAGAGACTGACTGCTCAAAGATTATTTTTAGGAGGCACAGGCAGTTTGTCAAATGTAACATTAAGCAGTTCTGACCTAATTCTTGTGAAAAGAACCAAGTGCAGACAAAACCCTGAAAATGCAGTTGTTGACTTTCATGAGAAATGCAGAAACAGCCAGACTAGCTGGGCCTGTAAAGAGGTACCTTTAAAGTTTGCATTATCAGAAAAAAATCCCAAAGCAATTCTTCTTACCTCTCCCGACTAGCCCTTTTTTTTTTAACTGACAAGTTAGGAAACACTGATTTTAGGCTGAGCTTTTTCTTTTTTTGAGGCTCTCCTGCCAATACTACTTTTTGTCTCATTCATCGGTCTATGCAAAACTGTAAATCACCCTGTCCATTTTTAGTCAATATAAAGATAGAAAAGTGGTATTATGCAATACTGTAGAAAGCAATTTTCTTAAGCAGCAAAAGTAATTTACTTGAAGCCAAGGGAGAGACAAATTGCTGCCTCTGAATGAAAGAAACCATTCCTCATGAGTTTTCAGCTTACTGGGAGAAGCAGCAACAGAGGCTTGCACAACAGAAGTGAAATATGAAGCAATCGAATCAAATAGTGTGTGGGATATACATAACCTAAAGCAAAATAATAATTAATACTTGGACTGGGTTGGAAGAAAGAGGCCTTCAGGAGGCATGTTGAAAGAACAGTTCAAGCATCTCACCAAACTATCCCGATCAAGAGATATATCAGAAATCTTGTATTTATAGGTCAGTCTATAAAAGTCTTTGGAAAAGCCAGGTAGGAGAACCAGGCACCAAACCACCTGTCTTATAGAGAGCCTGAATTGTTTTCACCAAAATAAATACATTTTAAAAATATATTTTTCACCCTTGTTTTTACTTCTTCAGCAAACGGAGTAAAAAGAACACAGGTGGAATCCTCAGAAGTTCACCATCTACGTTTTAAAGTTAAGTTTTAAAGCTCTCTAACACCCAGGGCACTCCAGTGCATGTTCTCACAATCAAAGAGGAAGTCCTGCAAGAAGCTAAACTTCATACCAATTCCTGTTTCTGCAGATTTAATAAGTTCAGGAGGTCTCTATTCCCATTCCTGTATGAATCCTATATCAGCCCTCCAAGTGATTTCTGGATGGTGCCTTTTCCCTCCCTAATCCAACTCCAAAAACTCTGTACTTGGTCAGCAACCCCTGAAAAATGTGGGAAGGATATGTGTATGTGTGTGTATATATATAGATATATAGATAGATACATACATAAACATGCCTATAAAAAAGAGAAGCCAAACATTTTATGGTAGTATCAGACTCCTTCTTTCTAAGCCACAGATGGCTGAAAAGGTACAATAAACCACATTCTTTGGAGACCCACTACAGAACTGGGGAAAAGCAGAAATACTTTTAAGCATGCTGCATATTAACAGAACTAAAACCAGCACTTTTGAGAGCCTGGGCTGAGAATCCTTTGCACCCCCTGTGACTATATTTATGGAAAACTTTGTTTCATGAGGTCCATCACAAAATGAGTGGGGGGTGGTCGTCTGCTCCCCAAAGGCTTAAGTAGAGTACAATTATGGTTATAAAATAGCATTGCTGGACCTTCTTTTTTTGGGGGGGGAGGGGGGTCTCCATGATTGCACCAGGTAAAACTTTATGAAGCTTTCCAGGTTCTCCCCCCCACCCAAAAGCTCTCCCAATAAAGATACTGAGGACCTGGGGGGGGAAAGGGGGGGGGAGAGTTTTCCTCTCTCCCTCACCCCAAATTAAAGGTTTTGCTAACCCCCAATTTAAGGCCACTGCGGGGAAGATTACTCCAAAAAGCCCTTTAGAGGCACCTCCATCCCTCCTTGTGCAAAACAAAGCCTAAAAGGGGGTCCCGTCCCACGAGGGGGGGAGGGGAGGGGACCCCTTTAGATGGCACCCCGATACCCCCTCACAGCGCCCCCCCCCCCACCCCCCGGGGTCCCCTCCCTCAGGAGAAGAGACCCTCCCCCCCCGCTTCCCCCGTCCTCTCCCGCCCCCAGAAAGACGGGGGTCCCGGGAAGGGTCCCGGCTCCAGGCGCGGCCCTCGGAGACCCCGAGGAGGGAGGCGTCCGTGGGGCCCGGCCTTCCCCTCCCTCCAAGCAGGCCCGGCGAGGCGCGTGAGGGAAAAGGCGGGAAGCGCGCGCGGGGCCTACCGTAGATGGGCCGCAGGCGCCGGTCGTTCGGGTCCTGCACATGGCCCCGCGCACCCGCCGCCGCCGCCGCCGCCATGATGAGAGCGCAGAACCGCAGCGCGCAGCCGCCGCCGCCACCGCCGGGCCTGCCCGCTCGCCCGCCCGCCCGGCCGCCTCTGCTCGCTCGCTCGCTCTCCCTCTCTCCCTCACGGGCGCCTGGCGGGGCGGGCCGAGGGCGGGCGGGAGGCGGCGCGCCAGGCGAGGCGAGGCCCGGCACAACGGCCCCGCGAGGTGGGCCTCCGCCCCCCGGCCCGCCGGCCTCGCGTAGTCGCCCCCTCAGGCTTTGCGGCCTTGGAGGCGCCGGTGCCTCAGCTGCAGCCTTTGGGGGATGGTGGTGAGAAATCCCCTCAGTTGCGGGCCGTTGAAGCCCCCAGACTCCGGGGGTTGTTTTTCTGGACCTGTGAGAGTCCGTCCCCTCAGCTTTGATGACTGTAACGTTATTAATATTATTAAAGTATTATTAAAGTAAGACCCATCAGTTCCCCAATTGGAGGCAGTGGTGGTGGGTTTCTCCCCTCAACTCTTGAGTATTATAATATTATTACTATTCAACTAACAGTGATCAATGGAGCCCACCAACTCTTAAAATTTGGGTCTGTGAGGAGTTATCCCTTCAACTTTTGAGTAGTATTATTAGTATTCAGCTAATAGCAATATTTACAAAAGCCACCAACCGCTAATTTGGGGTTGTTCCACCAGCTTTGACTTATTATTATTTGGCTAATAGCAATATTTCTGAAAGTCATGGATTACTAAATTTGAATTTGTGAGGGGTTGTTTCCTCAGCTTCAACTATTATTATTTATACTCAAACAATAGCGGTATTTACCAAAGCCACTCACTCCTAATTTGGACCTGTGAGGTATTATCTGTTCAGCTCTGACAATAATTACTATTATTTATGAAAGTTATCGATTCCTAAATTTGGATCTTTTGAGGATGCATCTCCTCAGCTCTGGGTCTCCTTCAAATACTTAAATCCAAAGGTTCTTAATTGAAGATCTGTGAGGGGTTATCCCATCAGCTTTGATTATTATTTATATCCAAGCAATAGCAATATTTATGAAAACCACCAACTCCTCAATTGGCACCTGTGAGGAGTTATCCCCTGAACTGTGGCGGATTCTTCTTCATCAACTAATATTTTAGACAGCCACCAATTCTTAATTTGGATCTGCAAAGGATTATCCCAAATTGTCAGGTTATGCCAATATTGGGCTCATTGGACAGAATATAAAACAGAATTTTAAACTCCTTTTTAGTCCAATGCTTACGATTTGGGACAAAAATAAAGCAGTTTTTTCCCTGTATGATTTTCTGTGCAGAAAAAAGCCTCACTTGCCATCGTGATTCACCTGTCGGGTTGGGATTGGGAAGAGCCAGGTTGAAGTTCAGCAGCCCAACCTTCTCTTTAGTCCAATCCTGGGCAGGCAAATCTGAATAAGTCCAAACTGTGAAAACTTCTGATGAGAAACAGGTGCACCCTGATCTATACTGCCAAAGTGATAACTTGACAACCGAATTCAGCAGAAGAGTCAGAGATGTGGCATGGTCATTCAGATTTCTGTAGGGTGGATGCACATGCTACTCTAGTGTTGTATGTTGAATACAGCCCCTGTATGAGGAGATCCTGCTTTTTAGGGTATGTGAGTCTTGCCCTTCACGTTCACAGCTGGATCCCAGGTCACGACAGTGAGAGAAAAATCCTTTATTAGAATGACTTTTTCTTTGGATCGCTTTTGACATTTGCACAGGCAGTTTCTTTTTATATATCTCCTGCAAATTACATATATCAGCTGATTATTATGTTTTTTTGCTTTGTTTTCTTTCAAGTTAAAGGACTGTGTTGTTTGGGTGGAAAACAATTACAGAAATACTGAATTAAGCTTGCCACCTGGTTAGGAACTGGAAGATAACCCTAATTTGAGTTTGCTTTTTCATTTTCAGAATCTGTTTCAGTTGTATCTTCCTCAGTGCATCTCAGTAAGGTCCAAGCTAAGATTTCTCCTGTGCAACAGACAGGTAAGATGATCTGGCAGCCCAGTAAAATGGCCATATGAATTTAGTAATTTGGATGCTCAGCATTTCTCAGTCTTAAACTCTGGGAATTAAAGTTTGTGCAGTTTAAAGTGGCCAAGGTTTAGAAACAGGGCTGAGATCTTGTCTGGTCTCCAAAGGTTTCAGAGGAGATGGGTCAATCTGGGGGTGTGGTGAAAACACCAGTATAATTCTAAGTAACCTGGCATCATATGGACTGGAGCTTCTGATACAGCAGGAAAATTTTCACCAAAATATAAAACAGCCTTTAAATGTGCAGGCAGGTCATCTTTTCCACCCAAACCTTTAAAAAATGCATTCAGAAGGTTAAAACGTAAAGGATACAAGACTTTGTTCCTGCTGCCTGGCAACTCAGACAGAAGACAAAGCAAGGCTAAGTGGGCAAGGCTAATGCAGATTAGCTACAACATAGCATTGTGGTAGCAAACTGGGGAGGAGGAGGAAGATGGGGGCAGAAGACGGATTTCCTTCTTGGATCCCAATTAGCAAGTCTGCTCTATGGTTACATTATGATTATGTCTGTTCTGGAGGACTGGAAGGTGCTGAGCTATAGTCGCCGTGGGTTTGGGGGCAGAGGCAGGGAGGGGCAAGGAGGCAGCCGTGCAGTCTCAACTCATACTTACCTGGCAGGGGAGACACCATGATCATGAAGGTGGTTTTCCCAGGGTGAGGCTCATCCATTGCACTCCGGGTGTGCTGACCCCTGCGATTTCCCCAAATGCGGGAAACTCGACTGCATAATTTGTGGTAGTGGGGGACTGCGTTCGCGCTTTCCCCTGATCTTGCTGGTTCAAAAGACAGAAAAGTATTTATAATTTCTTGTTTATTGTGTTTTGTGATAGCAATATCATTCTATGATATTGAGCTACATGAGATAAGAATTTAAAATGGTGATAGTTTTCTTGTCTTCAGTGACAGCAGTATCTGCCTAGATTTCCTGAAGATTTATGAAGGAGCCAGTCTCTGTAATTTTATGCCTCAAGATTCTTTACAGAATCTTTTATCTTTATCAGCAGCTAGGGAAATTGGAGAATTGAAGGAAAAAAGTAAGAATAAGAAAGTGTGCATAAATTCTCATCAAATACTTTTTGTCACATTTAGTCTGCAGTTTAAAAAAATAGAAAAACTTGCCATCTGACAATGGGAAGTTGTCAATAGCAACAGTTCCCTTTCTTCAAGAAGCAGCCAAACAAGAAAATGATTGTGTTGCACAATATTGTGTTGATTCAAAGATTCATTGTGCAGGGAGTAAAAGTAAAATACCTGAACAGTGACATTTGCTTAATTTGTGATTTGTAAGCCAATTCTCTTCCAGAGGGAAGAGGAGGAAGTGCAGAACATTCTCTGCAGAATCCAAGCACATGAACAGATTTCGGTGGTCCCTCCTTCCCCTCCTGTGCCACCAATAGAATTCCTACTTACACGCCAGAGGCGTGACAATTGCAAAACGACGCAGATAGACATGCAAATGATTGCATGCGAAGGAATTGTGGGATCAAAAATGGGGTGCAAATCAGAGCTGGCAAAGTACCCCAACACTCTGCAAGCAAACTGGGGAGAGGCAGGATCTCGGCTAAACCTTCCCAGGCTAGCTGGAAATCTTTGGGCAAAGTCACCATGGGTTTAGGGGCAGAGGCAGGGAGGGGCAAGGAGGCAGCTGTGCAATCCCAACTCATACTTACCTGGCAGGGGAGACACCATGATCACGAAGGTGGTTTTCCCAGGGTGAGGCTCATCCATTGCACTCCGGGTGTGCTGACCCCTGCGATTTCCCCAAATGCGGGAAACTCGACTGCATAATTTGTGGTAGTGGGGGACTGCGTTCGCGCTTTCCCCTGATCTTGCTGGTTCAAATATAGAAAAGAGAACTTGGTTTCTTGTGCATGTTGTTTCATTTGTTATCCCAGTATTTGTTTACTGATTTTATAAGCTATTCTTACCAAATAGGATTTCCACTGGGAGTTGGAAGTAGCAGATTTAAATTTATGCTCAGTTGGGAAGTGAAAGAATAAATGCAGGAAGTCTTTTTCGCATCTTTCTCATCCAAGGGGAAGGGATTATGATTGGAGAAGAGGCTGGGCTGCTCGGTATTTCAGATGGAAAGAAATGTATCTTGATTGGATTATCTACTGTTCTTTTTCAGTTCTTTGGTCTTTAGTTTATTCTGATGCTTTATTCCTTCCTTGCATGGCTGTATGAGAATTCTAGAGGAGAGGTGGCATAAATATTAAAAGATAAATTGCACTAGATCTCTTAATATTTTTAGCTAGAAATAAAGACATCCAAAAGCGTGTGAAAAGGGAGTGCAGACGTGTGTGTTCTGTTTCTGAACATTTTGGACAACAGAAATTCGACTCGCCTGATAAATGGAGCTGCATCTTTTTGGAGGACCTCCCGGGTTTCTGTTGGATTCTCTGAAAAAGAACGTAGGTTGATAACAGTGGAGGTTGAGTCTCTGAAGTGATAGTTCTTTGAAGATCAAAGAGAAATGCTAGTTTGTTTCAGTTTCTCTTTTAGTAAGCAATCCTGTGCTGAAATCTATGGCTAGACATGCCTCTGTGAGAAAGCATCATAACCCAAAGGAACTGAGTTGTTTAAGAGTGATCAGGTTACCCTCTAACGGGATCAAAAAGTAGCATGTGCCCAGTTGCTAAGGTTGATGCTGCCAGTCAGAATGTGGACCAGATTCCCTGCAGGCTACAAAGGGAAAGAATCCTAGTGACCCCACCCCCCTTCTGTATTGTGCCTTAGTGGATGCAGTCTGCTGTGTGACTGAGTGACGTAAGCACACATGCAAATATATGTATTGCAAGGCATTGTGGGATCAAAAGCGGGGTGCAAATCTGAGCTCGCAAAGTACCCCAACACTCTGTGCAAGCAAACTGGGGAGAGGCAGGATCTCGGGTGAGCCTTCCTGAGCTTGCTGGGAATTTTCTGGGGGAGTCACCATGGGTTTGGGGGCAGAGGCAGGGAGGGGCAAGGAGGCAGCCGTGCCATCCCAACTCATACTTACCTGGCAGGGGAGACACCATGATCACGAAGGTGGTTTTCCCAGGGTGAGGCTCATCCATTGCACTCCGGGTGTGCTGACCCCTGCGATTTCCCCAAATGCGGGAAACTCGACTGCATAATTTGTGGTAGTGGGGGACTGCGTTCGCGCTTTCCCCTGATCTTGCTGGTTCAAAAGACAGAAAAGTTGTATTTATAATTTCTTGTTTATTGGATCTTTTGCGATAGCAATATCCTTCTGTGATACTGAGCTGCATGGCAGAATGATACAAAGGTTAAGATGGCGATAGCGTTTCTTCATTTCTTACCAGCAATGTCTGCCTGGTTTGCAATTGATGTGTTTTTCCTAAAGATTTGTGAAGGAGCCTGTCTCTTTCATGCCTCAAGAATCTTTGGATTGCATCAACAGTCAGCAGATAGGAAAATATGAGAAAATAAACAGAATAAAAAGGTGCGCATACATTCTCATCAAATACAGTACTTTTTGTTACAGTCTGAACTTTTTAAAGAAAAGAATAGAAAATCAAGCCAAGAGAGCAATCCAACTATGGAAATCACCAATAGGAGCAGTTTCTTCTTAAAGAAGACGGCAAAGAAGAAAATTATTGTGCACAATATTGTGTTGATGCAAAGATTAATAATAAAACGCATGAAAAGTGGCATTTGTTGAAGTACACTCTTGTTCAATAATAAGGGGGAGCTCAGCTCAATCTTTTCAGAATCCGAGCACATGAACAGATTTCGGTGGTCCCTCCCTCCCCTCCTGTGCCACCAATAGAATGCCTACTTACACGCCAGAGGCGTGACGATTGCAAAAGAACGCAGATAGACATGCAAATGATTGCACGCGAAGGAATTGTGGGATCAAAAATGGGGTACAAGTCAGAGCTGGCAAAGTACCCCAACACTCTGTGCAAGCAAACTGGGGAGAGGCAGGATCTCGGCAGAGCCTTCCTGAGCTTGCTGGGAATTTTCTGGGGGAGTCACCATGGGTTTGGGGGCAGAGGCAGGGAGGGGCAAGGAGGCAGCCGTGCCATCCCAACTCATACTTACCTGGCAGGGGAGACACCATGATCACGAAGGTGGTTTTCCCAGGGTGAGGCTCATCCATTGCACTCCGGGTGTGCTGACCCCTGCGATTTCCCCAAATGCGGGAAACTCGACTGCATAATTTGTGGTAGTGGGGGACTGCGTTCGCGCTTTCCCCTGATCTTGCTGGTTCAAAAGACAGAAAAGGCTCTTTACTTCTTTTCATCAGTCCTTCGCTAGCTAACATTGATCCTTTTTTTGAATAGTTGCCTCCCTCTCTGCTTTGGCTTGTCTGTTACGTCTTCATCACCCTCCAGAAAATGTAGTTTCATTCCTTTCTGTGTCCTGTCCTGTCACAGAGATAGTTGAAGAGTCAGAACTGCTCATATGTTGGTGTCAGAACACAAATTCTGCATGTTTATATATAGTCTTTCAGATACGGACAAGCGTTGTTTATTTTGGGCTCCTTCTGAGAACCTCCGTGATTCAAAGCAGGAATGAGGCTTATTTTCAGCACATGAGCTGTGGGGGCATTTTGCTTGCTTTGCCGTCCTGAAATGGCAGGATTGAGCGTGACGCGAGAGGCTCTTTTAGTAGGACGGAGAGATCAGGGAACAGAAGGGTAGCCTGAGTCATGCCTGTGCCAGGTGCAGCAGCCCTCGCTAGCCATAGGCGAAGCCAGGTTGCCCAGTGGGCCAGAATGGCAGCCCTGGCCCCGTTTCAGCCCGAGTCCCAGCTCTTCTCGGCAAGTGGTGAAGCCTAATCCGGAGGCTCTTTGAACGGCCTGTTGCTGCCCACATAAGCCCCATCTAGGAAGGGAAGGGCTCCGGTTTCCTCTGCTTACACATCCTGGCCCTCGGCGTCCTGTCGCTTGCCCCAAAGGGAAACTGTGCCATGGATGGATGCGTATCTTTCTCCCCACGTCACTGATTTATGAATGGACGGTCTTGGCTCAGGATTCCGGTTGTGTCAGCTGCTGGGTATAGTTTTCCCTTGGGATGGATCTGCCTTCAATCCCCCGGCCTTTCTCGGGACCTTCGCAGCCTGGGGGTGGGGGTGGGGGGGGGGGGGCTCTGAGATAGAGAAAAGGCAGGGGATGATGGGAGCTGCGTCTGATCAGGGCAGGGGCTGGCTGACTGGGAATTCTGGGAGTTGGAGTCCAGCCCTCTTTCAGTTGCCAGGCTGGACAAATACAGGCAGTCCTCGACTTTGGACCGCCATCGAGCCCAACATTTCTGTGGTTGAGTTTTGCCCCATTTTACGACCTTTCTTGCCACGGTTGTTCCGCGAATCCCTGCACCGAGTAACCCGGTTGCTGGGCTGGGCCGGTCAGCGCGGGGGGGGGGGGGGGCCGGGGCGGGGGGGCGGGGGAGGGGGAGGGGGGGCGGGAGAACTACGGGCGCCGCTAGGGGGCCCCAGGGGCGGTGGGCGTGGCCTACCGCGTGACGTCTCGCGCGGAGGCCGGTGACCCTGGAGGAGGAGGCGGGGAAGGAGGCGGGCGGGAAGCCAATCCGGCCAGTCGGAGCTCGGCGGCCTCAACGGCGGCCAATCGCGAGCCGGAGGGCGGGGCTCGGCAGGGCCGAGGCGGTGCAGGGTCGGGTCGCGGCTGGCAGAGGAGAAGCGAGAGGCGAGGCCGGCGGGTGAGCGGCGGGAGGGGGCCTGGGGGGGGGGGGGGGGGGGGCCCCCCCCCCCCCCCTGCCTTCGGGGGCGGGCGGGGGGGGCGGGAGAAATCGAGGCCCTTCGCGGGTTGGGGGCGGCCAAGTAGTCCCCTCTTCACAACAGCCCTGCGGGGCAGGCCAGATGCGGCAGCGCTGCCTTGGCTACGCGCGAGGAAATTGGCCCGGCGGTTTTTCCCGGAGGGAGGGAGGGAGGGAGGGGGGTGGGGAGGGGGAGAAGGGGGGGCGAGCCGCCTTTCCACCCATTGGAGTTCCTGATGGCTGAGCCTGATTCGAAACGAAGGGCGAATAAACAGCCCCCGAGTCTCCCTTTTCCTTCTCCAGCTCCACTGACTGAAGCCAGCAGCCTTTGCGAAGAGACCTCCAGAGAAAAGACTTTCCTTTCCCATTCAAGGCGTTTTGGGTAAGCAGCCTCAGTTTTTCCACGCAGAGAAACGGGCGTTTCATTCGTGCCACTCCAGAGGAGGTAAGGGGGAAGGCAGTGGGCGATGGGATGCGGCCCCCTGCTTCTTCCTGGACAGGTGGGCGTCAGGACAAGCCTTGCCCAGGGCCAGAAGGCCTGGCTGGATTCTAGAACCTGCCAGACAATGGGCAGCGGCAGAAAAGAGGCTCCGGTTGAACCATTTACTTCTGGCCCGTGTGGGAGTACAGATTGGCAGGCAGCGCTGAGGCCTGCCACTGGGTAAATTGGCCGCCTTGCCACCAAGCCTCTGCACCACTCTCTGATTCAGTAGGTTGCCATGCTCTCACAATGGCCCTGAAGGTAATGCCAGGCTCTCAGAGGCAGCGAAGTTGCTGGTGAAGGAGAGAAACTCTGAGTAGGAGCAGAATGAGTAAGCCTCCTAGTGAAACATCAAGAAAAGAAATCATCTTTTTTTTTTTACTAGGTTCCTGGAACAGCAGGGAGATGGCTGCAGTGGCAGAACAGGAAAGTGAAACTCAACTGTGCAACAATTGGTAAGGGCTGGGAATTGAATGTTTTTGTTCTCTGCTGCCTTCTGACAGTTTGTGTGTGTGTGTGTGTGTGTGTGTGTGCTGAGCCACTTAAGCCTGTGCTTTTTCGGATAGCAGAAGGGAGTTGGGTTTAAAAAAAAGGTGACTAGATTTTGCAAAAGTTTCTGTTTGTCCCAATACCCTTAAAAAAAAAAAAGTTTGGCATTGCAACATGCCCTGTCCATGTGCCTCTTACAGTCAAAAAGATATTCCTCTGGCAAACTTTACCATCCATGAGATTCACTGCAGTCGGAACATCGGGGTCTGTCCCCTCTGCAAGGAGTCCTTCCCCAAAGCAGAGATGAGGACTCACCAGGAACAGGAGCACGCACAGGTGATCAAACCAGGTTGCCTCCCCCTCCCCCACTATGCCCTCATGTCTCCTCTAGATGAGACAGACGTAATTCTGCAACCTTGACCCTGATCTGCATTTCTTTCAAACCCTAGATTGTCTGTAAATGCAGCATGAGAATGGACAGAGGACTCTTACAGGATCATGTAGTGAGTAAGCTAATCGTTGCCTGATTTTGTCCACCGAAATACTTTGGGGGACAAAAGATTCGCTATAAGACGGTGGGATGTACTCCTGAAACAGGTGCATAAAACATTACAGCCACAACCTCCTTTTGGGGATGACGAGCCATTTCTGCCTTCCTCTCACAGGCTTTCGAGTGTCCCTTGCGGCCTGTTGCATGTCAGCACTGTGACATTGAGCTGGCTTTCTGCAAGCTCCAGGACCACGAAGATTACTGTGGGGCCCGGACCGAGCGATGCGGCCGATGCAACCGCAACGTCATGTTGCGCGAACTGAAAACGCATCCCATCGACTGTGGGAAGAAGGCTGGGGCGGGAGAGCCAGGCGGCCAGGCGAAGCCGCCTTTCTACCCCGAGGCCCCTTGGCAAAGCGTTCAGACCATCAGGAACGTCCTGCGGCCGGATTCTGCTGGAGAGTCGCCCCTGAGGGGCAACCGGTTCCTGGAGAGCCAGCTGCACAGTTGGGTCTCAGGTGATCAGTTGCCCAGGGAATCCAGCTGGAGGAACCGAGACCCATCCCAGCCAGATCGCAATCGAGGTAAAGGCCCCCAGGGCGAAACAATCCCTCTTGCTGCCCTTTTGCTAAATGGGCTCTTTTCTAAATGCGCCTCTTGAATTCAGAGGGTCTCTCTCTCTTCCGAGGCTTCGAAAGCAACTCCTTGCATCCTTGTGTTTGTGTTGCTGCTGGGATGAAGGGTGACAGGTTGGCATCTCATGCTGTTCGGTGTTTGTTCCCTGAAGCCTGTCTGGAAAAGACGACCCCCCCGCTGCCTGTGGACGGAGAGTCGGACTTGGATTATCTGCTGGCGCTCAGCTTGCAGCATGAAAATAGCTTCGGCCAACCCAGTGTGGCCGAGCTCCACAGAGAACTCTGGAAGAACATCTGTCCCCCCCAGACCAGACCAGCTGACCACTGTGGCAAAGCAAAGAACTCCAGGGACCCCTCTCAAGATTTGCTGGTAGCAGCCAACAATCTGAACAGGCCCAAAGGTACGTCGGTGTTCGTGGTCGCTTATCCAGGGATTGCAGGGACAGGAATGGCCATGCTATAGAAAGGACCCCAATGGCCCTTCCCTACTCCTAAGCTGCTCTTGGGGGGTTCACTGTCCTTGGCGGAGGAGTTGTCTGTGTGAGCAGGTGGGCCAAGGGATTGAGAAGAATTTCGAAGGCGGAGGTGGCAGCTGGATGGCTGTAACCCAGTTTTGAGTGCTTTCTCTTCTCCTTCAGCGGAGACCCTGCTGCCTTGCGAATTCTGCGAGGAGCTGTACCCCGAGGGAGACCTAATCCTTCACCAGGTGGGCTGTCCCATCTTCTGGGGCTGAGAGAGAGATGGGTGGGGGGGAGGGAAAGCTGACCAAGGCAGAGGACAGAAAGAGGGGCTGTGAAGAGATCACCCCGTTCAACTCTGCCCTTGCTCAGTGCCTCCT